ACACCATGCTTCTACACATGAGAATGAATGTGTTTGGTAGCAGTAGACATGGACTATGGTGGAAATAACTATGACTGACTTCTTTTCTTAAGCTGGTTCACTGCCTTCATTTATACCTGAGCCCAAGAAATCTGTTCTGAATCAGCCTGATTGGTTGAATGAAATATATTCTATTTTTTTAAAGCTAACTGGAAGTCTGCATGGGGCTCATGTACTCACAGACACATTTTCATCATCTGGCTTTTAGCCACAGAACCGTTAACTTACAGCCTGGCTCCAACCATATTCTTTCTGAGTTCCTGTGATGAGGAGTTATTATTTTACCTTTACTTCTGATAAGTAAGGAAATGAAAGGAAGTTGCAGGTTATATATATATATATATATATATATATATATATCGTCATCCACAGACAGACTGTTTTGCTGTATCACAGCTCATTAGTGTGGCTAGACATCTGGTTGCGTCTAGCTAGGATCAAAACCTGATTGAACTGGCGTCAGTCGAGGATTCTACCACTAAGCCATTGGCTCATGGCAGGGGTGAAGGTGAATTTTAAGTGTATTTATTTTTAGATAAACACCCAGTGACTGAGAGAACTCAATTTGATTTACCAAAGTGTCTTGCATTATTAGCAGTAATAGTCACTGTTTACAAACTCACACTTCCTCCCCAGAGAGCTCAACCGAAATAAATTTTTCAGGAGCATATATATTGTCATCCACAGACAGACTGTTTCACTGTATCACAGCTCATCAGTGTGGCTAGACATCTGGTTGCCTGTAGCTAGGATCGAAACCGATTGAATTGGCATCAGTCGAGGATTCTACCATTAAGGCGTTGGCACATGGCTGGGATAAAGGTGAATTTTAAGTATATTTATTTTTAGATAAACACCCAGTGACTGAGAGAACTTAATTTGATTTACCGAAGAGTCTTGCATATATATATATATATATATATATATATATATATATATATATAATTTTTTGTTTGAGGGAGGTCCTGGTTATGACCTAAAACTACATCCGACAATGGAGTCTCAACTAGGGGACAGAATTAGGGTACCCCAAAACATTGTTACCTACAGGTGATCCCTGGCTAAGATCTAGCACCTGTTAACCAGGGTTAAGGTATTTAGTTTTTTTTTTGTGTGTGTGTGTTTGGCAGCATTGATATGCATGAGTAACTCATCTAGGTGGAGGGTCAGGAAAAAGTGGGAAAGAGGAAAAGGAAATTTTTTTTTTTCTTTCTTCTCCTTTGCTGGATGATTAACATTGATGAAAATGGGGATAAATATAAGCAGAATGTGATGTTAGAGTGCGTTTCTCTGTGTGTGCATATGTCTCGAGGAGGGGGGGGTATGAAATCACTTCAAATCAAGCATGCTGCCATATTCCTAATCAGACAGAAATTGTAGCTGTGTTTCCTTCCTTTTTTAAGGAAGAGCACAGATTGCTGGTGACCCAGAAGTCATCTGTGATTTGACAATAAATTGCCAAAAGAAGTTGTATGGTTTGCACTTTGGAAGATGGAAAAAATTGTAGCTGACGGAAGGTACACAAGTCAATACCCAATCAGTTTTGGCTAGGTCACCATGGAGAGCGGGTATAATGTTGACAGACCCGAAACCCCAAATGAACCTCGGCTAGAAACATCACTGATGATATGTACTAAAGCATCCAATAGATGTATTTTATGAAATAAATGCCAGAGAAGACAGTGACCAACAGATGTGAGCAATAAAGCAAATATGAATTATATAAAGTAATGATATCTCATCCTAAAAATTTAGAAAATAGTTTCTAGAAGATCCTTTAGATTTGCTGATTTGCAGAGAGACATGACTGCCAATCAATCAAAATAAAATGGAAATGTTTGTTTTGGGATTTACTTATAGCTATATATCTGTGATTAATGGAAATCTTTCAGTTGTTCACTTTTAAATCATAGACGTGTAATAAATGATATTGCCATCATATGCATATAAAAGATTAATCTACGAGCAATAAAATTCACATATTGGTTTTTACAGTCACAATATTTTAAATGTTTGTAGTCTCCAGCCTTTTTCCAGGTGCTTATCATATTTGATAACTTACTCTAAAATTTGATAACATTCTATTCTGTGAATGCCTTAAGGGATGATGACCTGACTCAGAGAATGGAACAGAATTCTGATCAATCAAAATAAAGTGGAATTTTTTTAGACTTCTTTGAGTTATAGTTGCATATGCATAACTAAAGGAATTTTCTGTTGAGATGTAGAAATGGTTCCAAGTATACTGATTATTATAGGTACGATTTATGACCGTTAACCTTCATGGCATTTTTTGAAATCTCAGGCAAAGTTTTAATATTTTTCTTTCTTTTTGTTGTATACTGGGTTTGGCAAAATGGAAAAGGAAAATAGGCCTGAATAAAAATGACTGAATAACTTGATGATCTAAATTCAAATGCTTTATTTTTAGATGTCAAAAGATAGCAGCCTATTTTCAAGCAGTTTGATTTGTATGTTAGTAATGTTAGTAACAGCTATAAGTACATAGGTTAGTTTTGTATGTTGATATCTAACACTTTTTTCAGTTTCCTTTACTATATTTCATGTCTTTACATGTTTGTTCCAGATGACAAAAATGTGATAATCCAAAAGCACATTGACAGAGCAAATGATGACTTCAAAAAGCTAAACAAAGTATTAAGAAACAGGAAAATTTTGGTAGAGAGAATTTACACTATTTACATTGTTTGGACTATTCTCCTCATCTTTATTATCATATTCACAATGTTTCAGCCATTGTATGCTCTGGCCTTCTTCAGGGGATATATGTTGGAATTTCGAACCAAATCCTTTCATCCACCAGGAGCATGAATATGACAATAAAGATGAGGACAATAGTTCAAAGAATGTAAATAGTGTAAATGTTTATAATACCTCATCTCAGAAATATAAACAGAAATATAGACAGTTTGTGCATTTTAGCATAAAAAAGATAAGTGAGCTAGTCTTGTTGAACATTACTAATGAATAATCCTCACTGAGTAACCTATAACTGTGGCCATGTGCCAAACTAAACTATGATTAGTAAACACAACGCCCACCTCTTCTTGATGGAAATGTTTACGGGACACACTTGTAGATCATTAATAGTGAGTTCCATCCTCACTGATTTCTCCATACTTGTGGCTTTGTGCCAAACTTAGCTAAGCTTATTTAATAACAAAACATTCTTTTTCAATGTGTTGTGTCTCTTCAGGACATAAATAATCATGGCTTCTATTCTTTGTTGCTCTTAATGTTTGTTTTTTTTATCCACCCCAATTCTTGTTCTGCCATCCATTTACACAAACTCATTAGGTAGGTTATTCATATTTCTCTCTGTCAATCTTGTCTTCATTATGTCTTGTGAGTGTCAAATTTTACAAACCTACTATCCTCATTGTGTCCTAGAACTTTAAAGTGGGAAAAATATTAACAAATTTGTAACATAATAAATATTTCATATGACTGAAAGTTCATTGAAAGATATTAAAGGAAAATAGTTATTTAAACTATTTACACTATTGTCAAACTATTGTCCTCATCTTTGTTGCCATATTCAAAGACACATGGCCCAGTGGATAAAAGCGTTAGTCGAATACAGTGACTTGACCCAAAGAGTTGTGAGTTCAATACCTAGCTACAGCTGAGGTGAACAAAAACTTGGGGAGTTGGGTTAAAGGGAGAATTTCTTGCAATACTAACTTATTGCTGCCAAAATCTGGTAAATAAATGTGTTTTATACTGACAATTTATAGATATCTGGAAGAGGTATAGTACTTGGAACTAGAACAATCTACCCCAGTGGATGAAATAAAGTGTCAAGTCTGAAATTCCAATCACCTGAAGAAAAACAGAGTGCACAACATCTGAAATGCTGTGAATATAGCAACAATGATGTGGACAACAGTCTAAACAATATAAATAGTGTAAATGAAAATATAACATAGATTTCAGTCAGTAATTGGTTAAATACAAATTAGGACATAGAAAATAGGACTTTAAAATAAGACTTAGCAAATTCAAACTGAATTTACAATGCTGATTCAGATTGAATTTGTTAAGACCTATTTATGGATAGCCAATGATGATTTCACCTTAGTTTTTATTCAACATGCATTTAAGATCTTCAAAGAAACAGAAAAAATTAATTCGAATCAAAGAAAAGAGTACTGAACTCTTATGTTATATCAGTCCTCCTGTGTGTCAGTATGTGACAATCTCTTTAAAGATGAAGAAGAGACAGAAATGTGGTCTTGCAAAAGGATGCTGAGGATAACACGGACCAAAGATGGGAGCAAAAACAAAGTTTTAGAGAAAGTGGAAACTAAAAATATCCATATACTTAACATCAGGTAGAGACAGGTTACATTCCTAGAGCTCATAATGAGTAAAGAGGGCTTGGAAAATCTGATACTCACAAGACAGATTGTGGGAAAAAAGGACAGAGGGAAGCAGTGCGTAACATACATGATGAGCTTGAGCAAATGCGTGGCAGAACAGGGTTTAGGAGAAATAAGGAAAAGACAAACTTATTAAGAACTACAAGAGACAGGAAGATGTGAAGGGCCATGAACTCCTACGTCCTGAAGGGATATGGCAAATAAAAGAAGAAAGTAGTTTTTGGACAATTTCCTTTAAAGATGAAGAAGTGACTCACAGATATGATGGCCATAATTTAGTGTCGATATAAATGTGTATGTATCACTGAAGTCCTGTATAAAAGAAGGGCAGGGGAAAACAATGAATAAGATACTTGATAAGCTTGAGTAAATGGATGGTGGAACAAGGTTTATGAATAAAGAAAAGACTGAATTTATTTAGAGCTGCAAGAGGCAGGAAATTGTGGAGAGCCATGATCGCCTTCATCCTGAGTGGAAACGGCACATAGAAAAAGAAGATTGATAATCTGATATATCATTTTAACAACTAAACTTCCAATTTTAACTGTTCTTTGAACTTCATACATTGACAGTGAATGCAATGACTGTCAAGTACAATAGAAGAAGAAGAAAACAAAACCAGAATTTCCCAGGTGAGTGTACTTCATTCAGTTCCTTGTCTCTGGGACTGACTGATGTATGAAGAAAGAAAGAAAGAATAAAAAACTGGTTCACAGGTGGAAAGAAGGTAAACTTGTTCCTATGAAGAAGAAATCAAATTTACGCCCCATAGCCTCAGGTATAGGAGAGTGATGTTGTTGTATTTGTATTGCATATATAGACATAATCATTTGATTATAAATGTTGTTACTTGGATAGGTTAATCAATAAAAGCCTATAATATAAAGGAACATTGTCAGTATTAAACACATTTATTTACCTGCTTTTGGCAGCAATAAGTCTGTTGCAAGAAATTCTGTAGAAGAACAAATATTTTTATCAAAATTTTTAAAGTGAGGAATTAACATCATATGCTTTCCTATTCGAAGAGTCAAGCTCATTTTGGTTGTTATCCATACAATATTCCGGCACTTGTACACCCCTGCTTTCTACAGTTGTTTGGTGTCCTACACAATAACATTCTTAAAATCTTGACCTACAGTTTTTATTCAGTCCTTGGTGGTAGGGTAGGTTGTTCTCATTTCTTTTTTCCATGCTTCGGGGCTATTTCTTATCAGTTAATGCTCACAAGTACTATCAATTTTGTGTCACTTCAAATGAATAAGATTTTGGGATGTTTCTGGTAGTAGTGCCAGACTCATAGATTGAAATCACAACTTTCATGGAACAAGACATTCAGGACCAACACTGTAATGCTTTAGATGTTTTGTATTATGAAGGAAAGAGACTGAAGAAGGCTGGAGTGTATGACAGAAATGTTGTGGGTATATCAATCTGGATGAGGATGTTGGTCTAAATAGCAATGCATATACTAAGGGAGACACTGAAAACCAAAGAACAGTCTGAACTTGCATCAAATTTTCAATCACTTTCTTACAACCGTACATCACTTTCCTATACCTTTTCTATAAATATTCCTGTACATTATATTCAGTCAGTTGTTAGATGTGCTGCTGGGAAATTTGGTTCACCATGTTATGTTAGACAATTTTTCTTGTCTGAATCTATCTTACACCTTTCTAAGTCTAGCATTCATCTATGCATTGAATATTGCTATCATATCTGATTTGGTGCTTCTCCTGTGTATTCAGAGATTCTTGACAAAATACAAAGAAAATTGTTATTGATCCTGATCTGGTATCTCAGCTTCAGTCACTTTCCCATTGCCATAATGTAGCTTCCCTCTGCATTTTCTATAAATATTTTCATGGCAATTTTTTTGATGAGCTTTACTCTTTTGTACCACAAGCTTATGAATTTAAGCACAGTACTAGATTGGCTGTTAGGTCACATCAATTTACAGCTGAAATTGCTAAATATAACCATAAGTACTACTTTCTTCTGTTACACTTCTCATTTGTGGAACACTTTTCCAGCTTCTGGTTTTCCTCTCAACTTTGATCTTCAAAAATTTAAATGCAGCATACATCTTCTGTTTTTTTTTAATTCTGTTCTTTTATTGAACTTTCTATAAAATAACACTTTATCAGTTTCTTTCACCCCCAGTAACCCCTTGTGGCCTGGGGAGAAATGAATAAATAAATCTAATTTAAGTCATTTATAAATTATATACAGTGTCTTACATCAGTAACCAGCCCTCCACAACATTCAGGAGTGATATCAACTGAAATTCAAATTCTTCAGAAAATGTGCAGTGTCTTGAAGGTGCAAAATACATTTTATTGTGACACAAATAATAATTAGGACAACAAAGCAGTCATCTCTTAGCTGCATATGTAATGAATCCACCCACCTCCACTAATTGGGCCATTCTAACACAATAATTTGCTTTGACATAAACTATTCTTTTGTAGCTTTATTATGAAAAAAACATGGAGCATGTGTGTTGTAAATCTAAAGAGGATAGTTCTCTTTCAATATGTACTGAGATTGGGATAGGATGCTAAAATTAGCGTTCTATGCAGTAGCTACAAAGGGCTTAGATTACACATATTACTCACTCTCTAATTCACCAAAGGAATAAGTTCAACATTTTCAACATCCCTTTTACAAAGGCACTCTTAAGAAAATTCTTTAGATTTACACTTTCTTTCAGGAATAATCTATGGATAACACCAAAAATGTTCTTAATTATATAAACTTTTCTATTGCATTTTATTTCAATTTATTTTAGCCATTTCAACACTTTCATTTTTTGTTTGTTAACACTGACACTTTCTTAGCTTCAAACAAAGACCTCTAACCTAATAACAACAAAATAATTTAACACTGTGTGCTTTGGCTTCTTCCAGAGTAATATTGAAAAAATTCTCCATAATTCCGAAATATTCCTTTTTAATTTTGATATGATTATAAACTATATCCATGAGCAAAGGCATCTGCTTGGCAGATTGGAGATTTTGAGGGGTGTTATTGTTCACAGGTTCACCCTGAACCTGGGTGGTACCACCTCTTATGATCCCATATTACCAATAATACATTTTCATTTAAACAAATTACCAACAATATCTATTTATAGTAAAATTACCAAAACAAAACAAATTTAAAGCAAAATGATGAGCAATACATTTTATAGTAGAATTAATAACAATACATTTTATAGCAAAATGACCAACAATATATTTTATAGCAAAATGACCAACAATACATTTTACAGCAAAATGATCAACAAGACATTTTATCTGTATTTGAAGGCATACATTTACGTTCAAAATATATTTAGTTTAAGCCATGAAATTGTCAAAATATTTAGATTTCAGAATTAAAAAATCCATAAAGGATTAAACAAAATCAAACAACCTACATGGAAGAACTCTTTCCTGACATTAATTCATATAATACCTGACAATTTCTTAAAGAAATCAAACTGTATTCCAAAATATAAACTTCAACAAAACTACAACATAAAACACACATCTGCTTCTAGTAATTATGTCCACACAAACATGAATATGCACAAAAGCTGAGTATCATCTACCATGTATTCAACTGTGAAAGCAGAATAACATATATCATATTTTTATTACTTCAAAGCTGCCAAGAAAATTAAATTTCGACATTAAATAAGGAGTTGATATGCTGTTGAACAAATCAAATAAAAAAAATTTCATCTTTAATCTGTCTTGGATAGAGATGGATGAAAAAACACATGTGAAAAATTTATTCAATCAAAATCGTACTTCATTGCAGAACATTAGATAATCCTCAGCAATTCAGAGAATTGAATGGCTCAAATAAATGAACAGATATTAAAATAAGACAGGCTTCTCAAGGTTACACTGATTCAAGTTTGAGACTTGTCAAGAGCATATTCTTATTTCTTATTCATACTATTTATTAGTAATCATAGAATAACTGTTTGAATAGTTGTAATAAAAAGAAATTGAAATTAAGAAAAAAGAATTGAGAGAATAAGATAGAAACATAAAATGATTGATAGAGATATGCACAAAATAATATAGCTAGAAAGATAGATAGCTAGATATGTAGGAATTGAGAAATAGAGAGATAAAAATAGACCAAGCTAGATATAGATAGATAGATAGATGGACAGATAGATAGATAGATAGATAGATAGATAGATAGATACGAACAGACAGACAGAGATAGACAGATACGAACAGACTGAGATAGATAGATAGATAGATATATAGATAGATAGATAGATAGATAGATAGATAGATAGATAGATAGATAGATAGATACGAACAGACAGACAGAGATAGACAGATACGAACAGACTGAGATAGATAGATAGATAGATATATAGATAGATAGATAGATAGATAGATAGATAGATAGATAGATACGAACAGACAGACAGAGATAGACAGATACGAACAGACTGAGATAGATAGATAGATAGATATATAGATAGATAGATAGATAGATAGATAGATAGATAGATATGAACAGACCAGGATAGATAGATCAATAGATATATATGAACAGATACACAGATATGAATAGACTGAAATAGATAAGTAGATAAATATGAATAAAATGAGATAGATAGATATGAACAGAATAGGATATAGATAAATACAAACAGATAGATAGATAGATATCAATAGACAGTTAGATAAGTAGATAAATACGAACAGACTGAGAAAGATAGATAGATAGATAGATATGAACAGACTGAGATAGATAGATAGATATGAACAGATATCAGATATATAGATATGAATAGACTGTGATAGATAAGTAGATAAATATGAATACACTGAGATAGATCGATAAATAGATAGATATGAACAGAATAGGATAAAGAGATAGATATGAACATATATATATATATATATATATATATATATATATATATATATATATACATACACACATGCACACACACACACACATATATATATATATATATATATATATATATATATATATATAGAGAGAGAGAGAGAGAGAGAGAGATAGTTAGATATAGATAGATATGAGCAAACTGAGATAAAAGACATGAACAGACTGAGATAGATAGATAGATAGGCAAACAGATGAATAGATTGTTAGATAGACAGATATGAACAGCATAGGATAGAGAGATAGAGATCAATATAAACAGACACGCCCGATAGATCTGAATATGGAACTTACACTCTCCTCTGCAATATCTGACTGCCCCACTCCTTTATGAGGTGGTTACTTAAATATCTATCTCTATCATGCAGTTATTTACCATGCTTTCAAAACTAGCAGGCCGCTGTAAGGTCACATGATTCAGCACCTTGTTCCATTGTTGGTCAGATGTGATATTGAGAGCAAATTCTATTCTGACACTATCAGGAGTGCGATACACAATACAAGTGAATGAAAATGGTACTTTACCTCAGATTTCTAGACAGTCCTCAGAAACTAACAGGTGTATATATATATATGTATGCATGATTTACTCTATACCAAATACACTAAGGCAGTAGTTCCAAAGGTTTTTCTCTAGGCTGCATTTTCAGAATGAAAATTTGCTTGTGCCTCACCAAATTTTATGTGATAAAAAGTACATAAAAAAAAAAAAAAACTGAGACAGGATTAAAGGGAGATAACTGTGAATTTGAATTCAGAACATTATTATTGATAACTCCCTCCTCTAATTAGCAGATCCTAATTGCTATATCCTTAATACTTGATATAATGCAAAAATAATACAATGATAAAACCAGTCAATAATTATTTATAACGATTTATACTGGGACTCTTGCATGCAATTACAAGTAATCCATAATAATATTTTAAATTTTGAAATCATATTTATTTTTGGTATATGAATTTTTTTTAGCTGTTTCTAAATCTCTAATTGTCTTTCAATCATTCCACCTCACCTGCTATCTTCTTCCATCACACCTATGGGAATCACTCCATTAAAGAAACTGCTCTATATTACTCAACCCCAGCATAAACCAAAGAAGTAGTTCGAAGTACTGTTTAAAGACTCCCTTACGGTCTTCCATATATATGATACTGAGTAAGAAACTGCTGATTGTGATTTAAATAAGTGGAGGTATACAATTCATGAAAGCACAAGCACAAAGAAAGATCTTTCAAGAAGATACAACGAATTGGCCAAATGTCAAGCATGTGGCTGGAAAAGTGGAAATCATTGATCCAGCAATCCATTAATTTGCATGTAATTGAATGTGGCAGTGTATGTCTTTCCAAATCAGGCCTCATTATTCACAAGAAGAGTTATATTGGTAGACATTTGACAAATTACTATCAATACTAAGCTAGGATTAAGTTATGCAAGCTATGTCAGAAGATCTGCAGAAACTGGTCCAGTCTTACCCATCACAAAAAAATCACAATAAAGATGAATAGAATTTACATAATGGGTCAAGCCCTGTACAGAACAAATTACTGGCTTCAAAAGTCATTCTCATTCTCATGAGAACTAAAACCATGAATCAAGTTTGTCAGTGATGGTCATATTCATTTACTGAATCAATAGCCATCATGAATTTCATAGTGTTTGGGACAGTTCAGAGGATTTGGAAAAAGTTGGATGAGTCTAATGGTGATTACGAAGGTCCTTGGAGTGATCACTAGTGATGGTGACGTTATGCCTACATTTATATTCCCACAGGCTCTCAGATTCAACATGGAGGCCTACATTATGTGTCTTGAGGAGGTAGTGCTGCTCTGAGTCAAGAGGGTTGCTGCTAGTAGACCCCTATGTCTGGCAACAGGATGTTGTACCAGGCCACACAAGCAGGAGAAACCAGTCATGGCTGTCAGACAATTTCTGCTACTATATCATCCCTTGCATCTGGCCACTTAACACCCCAGACTGCAACACCCTTGATTATTATGTGTGGGGTGCAGTTGAGTGAGAGACCAACAAAACTCTTTGTAACACCAAAGGTGAACTGAAGGCAAGGATTATGGCAGCATTCACCAACTTAAACAAGGAGACTGTCCAGAAGAGTTGCAGGAGATTCCAAAGTCGTCTGGAGGCCATGGTTGAAGCCAATGGCGATTTTATTGAATAAATGTACTCTTTAATATTTCAAGATATTTTTCATGTAATTTTGGTAGATATATCTGTTAAAATGAGATATCAATATTATTTTCATTTTTGCGTAATTTAGATGACAATTTAACATTGCACACTGTATGTATCTTACAGTGTGTATGGATATATTTTAAGCAACATTTGTATTTATGTATGCCAGAGAACACATTTTCTTTACTAAGATTTCACGAGTGCACAGGCTGACAAACGTAATATACAAATTTACATTATTCACATAGTTTGGACTGTTATCCTCATCTTTATTGTCATATTCGTAATATTTCTGGCCATCTTCAGGTGATTGGAATTTCAAACTGAACCCTTTATTTCATTCAACAGGGTAGCTTGTTCTAGTTCCACGTGCCATGCCTCTTCTGGATGTCTCAGTTATCATCCATTGACTCAACTCTCTAAGGTTTTGTTCACCACTGCAGTAGCCAGGTAGTGAACGTCACAACGTCGTGAATATGGCAATAAAGATGAAGACAACAATTTGAACAATGTAAATAATTACAATACCTCATCTCGGAAATATAGACAATTAATACACATAGTTTAATTAATGAAAATGGGGTGTCTATTTCAAATGGCCACTATAATATTGTATGAAGCAATATAAATGCTAGATTAAAAATAAATCAATTAATTCTTTAGAAATTGCTCTGTTTTTGTTTTGGATATGAAACTGAGTCTTTATGGGATTTTGGAAAAAATAATCTAGATGAAGAATAATGTGGATGCTTTCTTTAAAACGGGAACTAGAGCCTTGCTTACTGTGATATTCTTTGTGGCTGAACAGTAAAGCAATTCAGATCAAACGGTGATTTCCACTACAAAGGCGGATGCAGATTTAGTTCCTGCCAATGAAGCCATTTTCTTTACTAACATTCCTCAAATGTGCAGACCATTGTTTAATAAATAAAATTGTGCATATATTTTAAATATCAAGTATCCACCATCATGATGTTTGAAGTAAATATATATATATATATATATATATATATATATATATATATATATATATATATGTATGTATATTCTTGACATGTACATCGAGAAGTGGGAGATGTTACCCATGTCCACTCACTCTGAGATGCAGTTTACAATGAGGGTTGGAGTGAGAAGAGGAGAAATTGAGGCTTGCCACCAGAGAGAAGCTTGCCCGGTGGAAAGTAATCAATGACATCAGCAGAGGAGGCATAAGTCTTTTGATGCATATCCATGGGCTCTTGAAACCAATGGATGCCAGACTAATATATATATATATATATATATATATATATATATATATATATATATATATATATATATATGTAAAAAAAGGCTACAATAATGGAAGCATTATTATTAAAAAGAAAAAGTCAACAGTCAGTTATATCAACTATGAACACAGCCACAATATGCTGACCATGTTTGGAAAATAAACATTTCTATAACTGTAGATATATACATAAAACAATCCATACATTCAGTTAAAAGTAAAAATAAAATCATTCTTGATAATGACTAGAAATATAAACAAAAGTGCTTTGACATAAAGAACATTTCAACAATTTTTACACAATTTGTGTCTAGAAAAGAAGAAAATTATAAGAACACAAGAAAAATTAAAGAAAAGACAACTGCAGCACTTTATCAGTTGTTTTTAATGAAACTTTATATATATATATATATATATATATATATATATATATATATATATATATATATATATATATGTGTGTATATATACAAGGGTAAATCAAGATCAAGAACAAAAGACATATGCCCCTCTGCAAATACAAAGTGACCATTTTAATAACATTTAAAGTAATATAAATCTCAATTTAAGAATAAATCTATTAATTCTTTGGAAATTGCGATGCATATATGTAAGTCCTGTATACATTGCTTTTCAATGCTGCTGCAGTTTCTATAGCAACTAGGTTTTTATGGAGTGGAGTGGACTGGTTTGATCAATTCCCAACCTGTTTTTGAATTCAGAGTTCTCCCCCTTATAGAGTGGTTATCAGCCAATCCTATAGAGTCCACCCTGATCTGCTATTTAACCCATAGGGGAGAAGAGGTGGAATCATAACTTTCATCTCAAGCCTGGTTTAGAAATGGAAAGAGTTGGGTATTAGATTAACAACCTGTTATTTTAAAACAAAGCTTCAATGAGCAAATCAGATCTTGTTAAAAAAAAAACAGAAACAAACATTGTTTTATATAATTTTAGAAAAAAAAAACATTATTGCCGTTTTTAAATTTGTTTGTTGAACTATTGTGACAGAATCATTCATAAGAAGAAAAGCTTGCTTTTTTTCCTTTTCTTTATTTGACTGAAAAATGCCGTTTTTGAAAAGATGATAATTGTTAAAAGCTGTTAGTAAATGACAGACAGGATGACAAAATTATTTTAAAGTAAAATTGAAGCATTGGTTAATTTGATAAATTACTGTTTTTCCTTTTAAATTTCATTCTGCTTTTCTATTTGGTTTTTTGTTCTGTTTTTTAAGAAAACAAAAACTCATCAATTCAATTTAATTTGAATTTTTTGTGCTACCAGTAATTCAACAGAGTGTTTTTATGCCACTGCTTTTGCCAGAACTCTTCAAGATTTTTCTCAAAGGAAACATGGGAGAAAAGGGTTCTTTATACCTCAATGTCAGCCATTCAAATTCAATCTATTAAAAGAGCAATCAGACAAGTGATGCTTGGCTTGGACACATGGAGTTTTATAAAGGAAATCAAAACTGAAAGATTTTGCTCTATATAGAATTGAAGTAGGAAGGGATTTGCCTTATTCTCTGAAGAAAGTTTCAATTAAAATTAAATAAAAAAACTTTGCTTCGTCATTATTTGATTAGTTCAGCAGTTCAGTTTCTTAATAAAAGCAAAACATTCTTTTGAGTCGGACGCTGTAACACTTAACAATGCACCTTGTGGAGTCCAAATTTCCCTTTATGAACTAATTATAAGATACTCTTGCTGTTGATTTGAAACCATTCAAAGATTCAAAAAAGGCTCATTAACAAACCAATTC